AATGATAGAGGACATAATAAGGATCACAAATATATGTGACACAACTTTGTATGACTTATAGTTTTGGCGCTAGGTGGCGTCAAAAGTCAAAAAATAAAAAATCAATTTCGCCATATATAACTAATATTTTAAAAATTAAAATATCAATTCTTATGTAAAATAATCTCAAAAATCGATTGGTAATAATAAAAAACCATACGAATAACGGTTTTCCCATAAATAACGATTTTTTACATTTTTGGAAGTTTAACGCCCTCTAGCGTGAAAACTATAAACAATTTGACAAAATAAATGCCACCATTCGATTTCTCATCACATTTTACATCATACTCAATTAAAATACCTATATCGAATTTTTCAAGTTATACAACCATAGGCAGGGTTTGGCAAGGTTCTTTAATATAATATTAGATACACTCTATTTGTACTTATGTGCTTATTAATAAAATTTCATAGCTTTCTTATAAGGTGTCATTCGCTAAGTACGTACGTACTCGTAGGGGGAGGGGTTGCCAAAGCTTATGTCCCCATGTTGAACTCCTATGTACTATACGATGAGCGTGTAAGGGGAGGGGTCCATTGTTGACCACAATTTTGCGTACGTACTTTGCGAATGACGCCTAATTTGTTTATTAATTTTTTATCATTTTGTATGATACTGTACAATCTACAAAGTATATCGGTACAATAAACAAAGTTTTAAGCCCAGGGATGTTAAACCTTTCAGTTTTGGTTTATTACAAAAATTAATTATTATATTATATCAAATTCAAATATATAAATGCTTTTTAATAAGTATATTAGAGAAATATAATTATTATAATTAACTTAAATATACCTTGTTTGTAAATATGTATCTATGTAGTATTTAACAAAAGCCCGGGTAATATAGTGATTTGCACTGAGACATTGGTCAAAACAATTTAATAAATGTACGTAAATATGTACTAAAATAACTGTACCCAAATATAAACATTGTATATTATCAGTAATTTCCAGAGTATTTAAGCCATAGTCTTTAAATCATACAAATATAGTCTATTATTGTGATCATAAAATAAGAAAAATTAAATTTATGTTCAATTATTGTTAAGAATAATTATTTTCAATAAGTTTTGTTACAATTTGTTACAATAAGTACTATGATGGACATGTCGTGGATTTCATGGATAGGGTTAACTGCCTTATCAATAATTGCCCTTTTATATTGGTAATTATTGTTACTTATTTTAATGAAATAATTTTTATGATCAAGTTAATTAATTTTTATATATTAAGGCGCTTGACACAAACATTTAATTACTGGACCAAAAGAAACCTGAAGGGACCGAAACCTTATCCATTTGCGGGCACTAATCTGTATACCTTTATAAAATGCATGCCTTTGGTTGAATTGGACTGGTATAAAAAGTTTGGATCACTTTATGGGTATTTAAAATCTTATTTAACTAAATTACCAATTACTTAACTTACTAACTTGTAAGTTATTATTTATTTAAATAAAAAGGTTACTTAAGATGGTAACAGAATAATTTTAACATTTTATTATTAATCTATAACTTTATAGTAGATTAATTATAATTTCATGATATATTGTAAATTTTACAGTTAATTTAGATTATATTATATACACTCATATTATGTACGGTATACATTATTTATTAAAAATCAAATATAAAACTAATTTAATTATACCAGGACATTCAACAAATCAGATCCGGTGCTGAAAGTGGCCAAACCAGAGCTGATTAAAACCATTTTAGTGAAGGACTTCCACCTGTTCTCAGATCGCGTGTATAGACCGGCGCCGCACGAGGTGTTGGATAAGAATCTGTTCGTGAGCTCTCCGCTTCTGACCTTCGCGAACTCTAGATATTACTCAGGGTGTAAATGCAGCCCTTTCTACGCATTTTACATAGGTTACTAATCCCTTACAGAATTGCTCAAGAACCTACTTGAGCTCCTTCACGCCAGAGATAGGAAAGAGGTTAATGTGAAGGACTTGCATGGTAACTTCACCATGGATGTGATCGCCAGGTGTGCTAAGCGGTGGTTTAGGTTATGGGTATTCCTGGGGTTGTTAGTTAAGTAATAATTGCGCTTCTTTCAAAAACTCGGTTAACAGAATTCTGTCAATGGTGAGAAACAATGGGGGTTTGGATATGAGTTTCTACTGAACATTAAGTCCGGAACCGATGAAAAGGCTCATCAATTCTTCCTGAAGACCACTCAACACGTTTTAAGACAACGAAAGGCGGAGCAAAATAATCACAAGAAATATAATGATTTCATTCAACTTCTTGTGGACGCAGAGAACCATAAGGAAGAGCTTCACGACGAGAATGACGTGAATGAAGCACATCATGTGAATGAGGGTTTGTGTCCATTAGTTATCGATTTGATTATTGAAAACAAATATTTGATTATTGAATGCATTTTCAGGCGCCGAAGAGTTAGAAATGGAGAGAAAGACATTATCGGCAAACTTTCTAAACAAACAGTTGACTGAAAGTGAAATCATGGCTCAGGGATGGATAATATTCATCGCCGGTTACGAGACGACGGCCACCACTCTGACGTTCTGTTCGTACGAATTAGCGCTCAATCCTTCCGTCCAGGAGAGGCTGTACGAGGAGGTAGAGGCAGCGGTCGATGCGGATGGAGAGATCAGTTACGAGGATTTGGCCAAATTGCCGTTTTTGGATGCAGTCCTATCGGAAACACTACGCAAATACCCACCGGTCATAAAACTACAACGTAAAGCAATGGCTGATTACAAGTTGGGCGACACCGGTATTCAACTGTTCAAAGGCCAAGACGTCGAGATACCCGTCTATGCCATACATCACTCGGAGGAGTATTACGGCGTCGGACTCTTCAAATAGGGACTAGCTAAAGACGGGCTCTTATCTGTATTTTATTGCGGGATGTGTATGTATGGCAAACCACGGCCGGGGGCTTTGACATAACCATACTCTAAACGCAATTACCAAGCCAAGTTAGGGTTAGTACAGATTGTGAAGAGGTATCGATTTTTCCGATCACCGCAAACAGCCGTTCCCTTAGAGTTCAAACCCATCACTCTTTTATGTTCGCCTAAAAGTGTTATCATTGGCATTGAAAAGCGATAATTTGTCTCCAAATGTGTTTACATTTACTCATAAAGTTTTAAATGATTACTATTTAAACAGCTTTTATGGCATTTATAATGTCCAAATCTTTGTTATAAAATTTTATTGAAATATACTTCAATATTTAATATCATTATTTTACTAACGTAAATATAAAATTCAACAGTATCACATCACCGTGAGTTTGATAGTATTAGAATTACTATTAATGATAACAAAATAAAACGGTCGGGGGATTGGAATGTATTGGGAAACAAATTCATCGATTTATCACTATTTGAGTCCATACTCACAAAGTGTCCGCTTATTAGCAAACTCTCGATTCAGACACTCGAGAGTCAAACCAAAGCCAATTACCAGCAAATGATTGGCGCGATTGTCAGTCATTGCAAGTATTTGTCACAAATTGAGCTCTACTTCAGCGAATTGAACGAACAATTGTTTGATAAGTTTTTTCGCGTATTTGGTCCGCAATTATAGAGTATTGGTTTCAACGCAAACAGTGAACTCAATAAATCCTTGTTACATTATTTCATAAATAGAGCTAAAATTTATGAAATTAAATTTGAATTTAAAAATATCGCCAAATTTCCGCAAAATACCGACATTTCACCAAATGGTCTCATCTTTGTTTGCGCCAAAACCAGTTCAAGACAGGGTTCAACTCAAAAGCGTTAAACCCATCGATCAGTAGTCAAATGTAATGAGAAGTGTCATCAGATTCATAAGATTTAATAAAAATTCATCACAAATTGTATTATATTGTCGTCTATTTGCTTATCATTAAGTTTTATATAAATATACTGTTTTTTATTACTTGCTGCGAATTAGAAATTTTTATCTAAATATAAAAATTATTAATTTTTTTGCTTAAATAAAACTTCATTGTATTAATAAAGTTTCCAACTTGATTTATTAGAGTAAGTTAATTGAGATTAACTAGAAATCAATAGTATCAAAGTCTCCTGATTTTTGTACTAAAGTTATTAGCAATACTGTAATAACTTATTACTAAGAACCTTGCCAATAAATACATGGGATTTTGCCTATTAAGTCCCCGGGAATTTTTAAATATAAAATGATAGAGGACATAATAAGGATCACAAATATATGTGACACAACTTTGTATGACTTATAGTTTTGGCGCTAGGTGGCGTCAAAAGTCAAAAAATAAAAAATCAATTTCGCCATATATAATAATCGCAACTCATTTTGTGTAAAAACTTACGCGAAGTAAACCTCAAACGTCTGACACAAAACAATTTGACACAAATTGTGTTCACTGATGATGAGGTGTTTTATCCAAAATTAAGTAAAATTCAATTCAAATACACTACTATCGAGTCAATTGGGTTTGAATTATTTACACAGAAATATCAGTCGAGTTTAACTAGCGTTGAATTAATGGCTTATAGTGGGGATCAGAATGTAGTGAATATTCTGTTGAAGGGTTTATCAAACTTACATCAATTAAAGTCATTGAATGTATCATTTGATTACGACATTAACATCAACTATTCAATCGCTAAACAACTCAACAAAATCGCCACTAATTGTGAGCGTTTGAAGCACTTGGAGCTAAAACTCAAAACTTATGAATTGTTTCAAAGTTTTGAGATTTTTGATACGTTTAAACATTTTAAACGATTGAAGAAACTAGTGTTCAGGTACAACTATGTATCGCAAACTACAAGTCTCATACTAAAGGGACTTCACTTTACGAGTAAAGCACTGGTAGATTGCCATAAATTGACTCATTTAACGCTGAGTGGCAGTAAGATTACTGATATATTCTTCGACGGTATTGACACAAGTCTACCAAACCTTGAATATTTGAATATTTCAAACGCCAAGATCACAAAACCGTCGTTTGAGGCCATGTCTAAGTTAACTCATATGCAGACAATGTATTTGCATTTAGGCGATACTTTTCACATCGCATTCTACCAAACCTTGAATATTTGAATATTTCAAACGCCAAGATCACAAAACCGTCGTTTGAGGCCATGTCTAAGTTAACTCATATGCAGACAATGTATTTGCATTTAGGCGATACTTTTCACATCGCAAACATCGACACTGTCATCAAAATGTGTGACAAAATCAAATTCATTGATTTAATGAGTTATGGCTTTCATTTAGATCTGGATGATTTTAAAATCGATCAAATCAAACAAAATACTTATTCACTGAGTGACATGTTGAGGGATAAACATGTATAAATTTCATTAGTAAATTCTACTCTAGTTAAATTGTATAAGATTTTAAAAATAGTTTATAATTAAATTTTAATATTTTATTTAATTTATTTATTTATATTTTCCATTATATTTATAAATGACATTAATTAATATTGTATTATTGTATACTGAATTTAAAAGATTTATAACTAAATGTAGAATAAATATTGAAATAAAAATATATTAAAATGTTGAACCATAACAATTTATAATAATTGTTTAAATTATAATAAAATATTTTAATAATTTTCGGCTTCTTTTAAGAGTATCAAGATAAATTGTCTTTTTGTTTATTATTATGATCAATAAAAATATTAGTTTAAATATTTACAAAAAATAATTACAAACTTATTCCAAGTTTAAAAAACTTTTTAGGTTTAAACACATTGAATTGTATTTCAAAATAATTTAACAAATTGCTTCATGAGAATATAAATACTACAGTACCAACTTTCTACTTGATGTTACAACAGTATTATAATTGTTATAATTGATAATTCTTGACTATTTTATAACTTCACTTTATGGGTATTCTTTACGTGTTTTTAACGTATGCCTAATAATAATCTCAATTTCTATCACTGAATGCAATACTTGTATATCCTTTCATTTAGTTACATAATAGCTGTTTATTCATACGTTATATTAACGTTCAATTCATGACATTAGATAAAAATTACTCTGTACCAGTATATAATACTATTTCAATCAATATTCTGTATTCATAATGTAACACAAGTACTTGAATTAATAGTTTGACAAAAACTAAACTTTTCATTATTGTAGACCAGTTTATGAGCGCAATTATAAGCCATAAATGCAAACATGTTTTCCCTTTAAGTGAACAATTATCGAAACAGTCGTTCAATCGATTGGACGACAATTTGATAGAAACTATTTTATCGTATTTGCCGTTCAGTGACAAAGTTTCCTTAGAATGTGTTTCTAAACGATTCCGGAAATTGGTTTTCAATAAACAGTTCAAACTTGTGTTAAATCGATCCCAAAGTGAAGATCGAAATGTTTTAAATAAATTATTCAAACCGATTGTCATAACAGACTTCCGGACGGGAAGGGCTGTCGGTGAGGGCTATAAAGGCATTGACAAGAGATCGCTGAAATCAATACTAAGAAAATGCGAGTCAATTGAAGACATATATTTAGACTGTTTTCTGGACATAGAAGACGTGAATATAATCGCTAAATATTGTCATAACTTAAAGTCCATTGAATTTGATTCAATCGGTTTGAGTGGCGAAGAGTTGGATCAATTGGGCCAAAGATGTGGACATTTGCTCCGAAGAGTGTCTCTAAATTCTGACATATTTTGTCGACAATATATCAACAAGTTTTTGATTCATTGCAAACGTATGAATGAATTACTTTCACCAGATTTTAACGATTTATTGCTCACAGACAGCGTCTATTTCCCGGAGCTACAGGTCCTCAACAGTCATACCATTCATACAAATGATGACTTCTTAAGATTTAGCATATTTTGTAAGAAATATAGACATTTGTTGAAAAAACTTCACATTTGTTTGTCAACTGATTTGACTGATAATGAATTGAAAACATTTTTGTCAGATATTTCACTCTTTACTAATTTGCATGAATTGAGTGTTCAGTTTGAAATCAATATCAAAGATGTGAATAGTTTTGAAGTATATTTGACTAATTTATCAAAAAATAATAGTAATCTAAAAAGTCTTGAATTAATTTTAGTAAGCAATAAGTTTGAGTCGTTTGATAGTTTGTTTAATTCATTGAAATATTCAACTAATTTAATAAAATTAAACTTAGAAATCAGTAGTTATTACGAAACCAGAGTTCTTACGGGAAGTGTTAGGAGTTTGAAGTCATTTAGAAAATTAAAATATTTTCAATTGAAAACTGCTTACGAAATAAATAGCGAAGAATTCTTGGATAATATTCACGAATATCTGCCAAATTTGAATGAACTGACTGTTGAATGCGAGTCTGATTTCACTGATGAAACAATTATGCAATTGTGTGGACTCATGATTACGAAATAAATAGCGAAGAATTCTTGGATAATATTCACGAATATCTGCCAAATTTGAATGAACTGACTGTTGAATGCGAGTCTGATTTCACTGATGAAACAATTATGCAATTGTGTGGACTCATGAATCTACGCAAGTTTTGTTTAAATAAATACGAAAATTGCAATCAATTCATCACTGATGTCGGTATTTGTCAACTCATGAACTCGTGTCCAAGAATTGAAACTTTATGTTTTGGATCCGGTCTTAATATAACCGCAAAAACTATTGAAACGTTGATATTATTTGCGAACAAAAATCCCAAAAAGGAGATAACATTTACAACAAAATTGTCACAATTTAAAGACGAGTTTGAGTTTGAATTTGAAGAAATAGATTTGAATGATATGTTCAAAGAAATACCAATCAATCTAATTGTAGACATTCAGCTGTTTGATACTAACAATAATGATGATGAATAAAATGTTTATATTCAATTATCAAATTATAATTTATTTTTGTGCATTTTATTTGTAGATCAAAACATATAAAAATTGTGGTCTATTTGCGAGATTATATCAAATTTAAGTTAGTTGATAGAGATTAAATATGACGTAGGTATTATCCATGATCAATTCAAATATCAATTACATTGGTAAAATATTTACACAAAAATGTTTTACATTTAGACGATAAAAATGAATTGAATGAAATTGATTTGACTACCTGCTAATTTACCGGTATTCAAGATTTTCATTGATTAATCACGCAATTTAAATATGAATTTATTTATAAAATAAAAATCTCATATAAACGAATATATTTCTATAATTTATTTAATGGTTTAAAACATAATTCACAATTCACTATAAAAAGATTGATTTTATAATTAAAGCTTAAAACTTAATTGTTATTTTACTATTAGTCGAAAGTAAATGAGTTGAAAATGACCAAGAAAACTTGTATGGTAATAACTTTTAGTTCTGTTAAAACATTTCTGTGTTCAATGTCATGGGAAATATGATACAGTATAAGCCCCGCTTTTAATTATATAAAAAATATTTCTCAATTGCATTACTATTACAGCTAAATAAATAAAATTCGTAGAAAGCCTGCGAATACTGTATTAATATAAACTAGTGTAAACTAAATACTGTATATCGACAAATTGGTATATAATGAGTTTAAAATATTGAATGTACTGTATTCACAAATTCATAAACGATTCACAAAATGAAGTTATTATCGAGTATAGTGTTCGTGAGCCTAATATACGGGTCGTTTTGCTGCAAATGTGCGGTCCGTGACATTAAACAACAGTTCAATACAACTGAATACATGGTTCAGGCGCTCATCAACTCCAAGACCGCAGAAGCCGAGTTCAATCGCTTCGAGACGACTGTCCAGAAAGTGTTCAAAGAGTCTGGAAATGAGGCGAAAGGGGCCGTCAGTTCGGGTCTAATCTATTCCAATAAACACAGCGCTTCTTGTGGTGTAGAACTGGCCATCGGAAAGGTATACATATTAGGCGGTAGTGTCAAAGATGGGAAACTGTGGGTCTATTCCTGTGATATTCACAAACAAATTGAAAGTTTGAGTGCTGATGAGCTCGAGTTTGTCAATGGACTCAACAATATTAAAAAATAATCGTTATCAAGTACATTTGCACAACAGTTCAATGATAATTTATCATTTATTCGTACGCATACCGTATTAAATGATTTTTATTTTAAATTTTACAAAATGTTGACTAGTTTTCAATAAAGTATGATTTATTGACAGTATTCATAACGCAATCTAAAAAACTCAACAAAAATGACTCAATATAATATATATTATATATTATCGTACATTTAGAGTGTAATGCAATGCAAAGTTTGATAAAAAACAAGATAATTAGTGTCCATTTGAAATGAAACAAAACAAAATGAGATTAATTTTTAAATTAAAAAATAGCTTAACTTATGTTATGATGACATAAGTTAATGAAACAGTGGAACAGAAAACGAAAATCAAATATAAATTAACAATGAAAGTATAAATAACTTTAAATTAAAACATAAATTTAATTTATAAGTTATTCGAGTGGTGTTTGAGTTGACGTTTGTGTTGATTGAGTTTCGCGAAGGTGTCTGTCCTGAACGGACAGCCCTTCCACTTGCAGACAAACTTCTCGTTGTGTTGTTTCTTGTGTTCATTGAAATTCTTGCAACTTTTGAACCGACGGTTACAGCCGTTATACTCGCAGACATACGTGTGGACCATTGAGTGCACCCTTTGCTTGTGGACAATGAAGAGGTGTTGGGTCTTACACTTCTTGCGACAACCGGTTATATCGCACTTAAAGACACCGACCGATGATGAAGGTGTGGATCCGGTTGTGGTGAACGTATTGGCCTTATTCTCAACACTTTTCTTGGCTTTAGACGGACTTTGGGCGCCAGTACTGCCGTTCAACTGATGCTTACGTTTGATGTGTTGATTCAAATTGGCCTGTCTTTCAAAAGGTAGACCACAACCACTCTCATGACAAACATAAGTGGCTTTCAATGAGTGCTCTTTCACCTGATGTCGAAATAGTGTTAATTTCGAGGTTGTCTTCAATGGACACTTATGGCAGACATAGGCCGCGATCTTATGCTTGTCTGCCATATGACTCAAAAGGATGTCATTCGAGTGGAACCGTTGGTCGCAATTATCACAACCAAATTGTTTGTCATTCTTAAGCGAATGCTTAGTCCTCTGATGTCTAAGTTTGCTCTCTTTGGTTGAAAACCTTTCCGTACATCCGGTGACAACACATCGAAAAGTTTTGTTCAGTTTGTGGCTATTCTTATGCAAAACGTATGAATACTTCGCCGATGTCTTGAATTGGCATAAATCGCATTTGAAAACCTCTTTCGACTCCTTTTGCGGCGAAGACTTGGCTTTAGTTGGGCTCGACTTGTGGTGAACGGGCGCTGAATGTCTGCGCTTTTGATGAGACACTAAGTAATCAAACTTTGATGTCTTGAAGTCACACGAATCGCATTCAAAGGCTTTGATCTTATGTTTGGTCGACATATGGGTTAATAGAAACCTCTTTGCGTAAAAATTCGCATCACATGTCTCGCACACATACGGCTTCCTCTTGAGGTGCACTTTATTGACATGTATTTCAAGTGCGATCTCATTATTGAAGCCTTTCTTGCATTCATTGCAGTGATGTTTCTTATTGTCATTTGAGACCACTTTTGATGTTTTGCCAAAATTAGGATTTCGGTAATTCTTATGCAATAGTTCTGTCATTAGTTTAAAGTCAGAGTTACCGCCACTTTTAGACACTGGCGTCGACTTCTGAGGGCTCACTGGATATGATATCAGAAAATTAAACATTTTATTTAATAAATTACACCAAATCTAAGACTTTTAACAATAATACCAGAACTCGAGCGTCGGCTGACATAAGGACTCGACTTCGGGGACACATTCACTGCAATGACAAACAATTCATTAGTTTTGTGTCAACTCTTCTACGGTACTAATGGTATCATTACTTGAAGTCATGTCTGGCTTCACATCCATCTGATCACCACTTTTTCTAAACTCGTGTCTTTGCGTCAAGTGAATGACAAACAGATCTCTGGTATTAAACACTTTATTGCATTCATGGCATGAAAATGATTGCAGATTCTTGTGGACACTATTCGTGTGGATCTGTAAGTCCATTTCCGATTCAAACACTTGTTGGCAGTCATCGCATATCTGAGTGTCGGTCAAGTCATCGGTGGTGTTCTTCGGGAGTATCACCTCATCGTAAGTGTCAACATATTTGCCATTCTTTCCTGAAATAAGTCTTCATTTGAAATACAACTCAAAACCTTTTGATGCAATCATTACTTACCCGACAATAAGACACTGTTTTGTTGGCCATTTCGACGGCTCTTAAGACCATTGTATTCATCGTTGAATCGATTCAATTGGTCCACAAGCTGTTGGCTTATCTCGCATTTGCATCGGTTTATCAAAACCAATGAGTAGTTCTTGTAATTGTCTAAAATGTGGTTCAATTGTCTCTCAAGACATAAATCATTGAGAAATCTCTGGTTTTCTTCTCTCAAAACCCATAAATCGTTGAGAAGTCTATAGTTATCGCACTTCAGCTCATCTAATATGTCGTTCACTAGTATTGAGCACATTATCACCGATCGGATCCCAACGGCAATCAGTGGACAATCAGTGGTCACTCACTGGCATCACAACACATGTCTCGCATTTTGGGCGCAATTATTGCTTAACAACACATTCAACACAACATTCAATGCATTGGTTTCCATGCAATCAATAAATACTGTGTTTTTGTTTCACAACTCGTTTGACAGTTTGACACAAGTTTTGCTCAAATACTAAATATTGGACTCAATTGACACTTAAATTGCATTTAATTAGCACTTTATTTTCAAATTACAAATTTGTCAACAAAAATTTTAATTTAGTAATAATTTATTTTATTCATTTGAAGGCTTTGTGTGACAAACTGCACCACAAAAATATCAAATGCTTGTAATTTGTATTGAAATTAAATCTATATTTTGGTAAATCATAACATATGTTAAATAAAAATTAAGTATTAGTAATAGTCAAGTATGACAAATATAAGTGAGAGCACAGGGATACCAGTGAATGGGTTATCAAACTATTTACATACAAATTGGCAGCAATTAGTGAATTACAGACTTATGTCTCAACAAGAGATCCTTGCGTTTGAACCGTAAGTAACAGCCCTTCATATCGCAAGCAAAAGGTCTGTCCATCGAGTGAATGACTTTGTGTTGGATTAAGTGATGTTTGGTTCGCGTCTTGTATTCGCATTCATCGCATTCAAAGGCAGAGATCTTATGCTTTTGTGACAAATGGTTCAGAAGTGAGAGATTAGCGAAGAAATCTTGAGAACAAACGGAACAGACAAATGGCATCGACTTCGTGTGGTATTTATTTGTGTGGATCTCGAGAGCCGTTTCCGACGCTAACATCTTATGGCACTCATCGCACTCCATCTGTTCCGGAGGTTTGCTAGCTTTGGGCGTTTGCGGTGCGAAATACTTGGAGTGTTGGCCAGAATTGGTGCTCCGATTGGCAGACAAACGCTTCTTACGACAACTTCTCAGCCGTTTTGGAGACACTAACAGATCATAAGATCGTATCACTTCTGGAACTCATTGATAATGACATCAATCAATGGTTACCTGAATCCGAGTTCTCATCACTTTTTCGCTTTTGTGTCAAACTCTGGAGATTAAGAATATCTGAAATTTATAAGAAATCATTTCAATGATAGCTGAAACACTTCATTAAAGAGTTTAATCTAATACTTAAAAACGAGTCAATACTTTGGCCATTCATTTGGGTATCATTTGTATGACTAGTGCCGTGAATGTCATTCAAATGCAATGTCTTCATGTCTTCAGTGGTGAACACTTCATGGCATTCATGGCATGAAAATGATTGTAGATTCTTGTGGTCAGTAATCGTATGGATTTTCAAAACAATTTCCGATTCAAACACTTGTTTGCATTCATCACAGCTATGGACTGACTGTCCGTTTGAGTGACTAGTCTTGGGAACCGCTGACGTCTTACCACTTCTCGTATCCATATCTGTAAATAGGGTTTCATTGAAAAGCATTGCAAGTCATTGTCAACAAGTGATGGCACGGTTTACCACTTTGTCTCAGACTCTTGTAGAAGTCATTCAACAGATTCAATGTGTGGACAATATGCCGATTATCACCACATTTGCACGCATTCACCAAAACCACTGAATGGTCTCTAATGGCATTCAAGATGTGATTCATTTGTCTCTCCAAACACAACTCGTGGAAAAGGGTCTCGTTTTTGGCTTTCAGTTTATCCATTGTATGAGTGATTCACTGCTCACACAATGCCATCAATTCACTGTTCACTCAATCGGTGTTCACTTTATAATTCATAAATTGCATTCACTTTACGGTAACTGTTATGTGAATAACAGTACAATAACTGTAAAGCAATGCATTCACAGTTCGTATCATATGTTTACTGTTAGACTTACCCACCAATAGTGAGCCAATGCAGGCATGCATTCAAAGTGAGTCAATCTGTTTGCCACACAAAGCACCGACCAATCAGTCATCAGCACTCAACTCCACTACCACTACATTCACATTGCAGTCAATTATGTTTTCAAACTTTCAATTCATTTAATCATTTGTTTATTGAGATTACATTAGCATTACTGTTATCACACGGTATTTACATCTAATAACTAACCTATTAGAACTAACATTTAAGACAATCACTTAATAGTTTACATTTGATTATACAAATAAATTAAACACAAATATAGTACTGTACATTTTTCATACAATACGGTACTGTATTGAGAATACGGTAATTAGACTAAAATCAGTAAATAATGTTATATTAATTTTGGCGTAAAATTATTCACAAAATAATGGCATAATTGTGTACATGTATTATGGCTAATGAATGAATATATGGTACGGTATACTGTAAATCATTTATACGATAAGAATATAATTTTAGTGCAACTTTTCGTGTCTTAATAAATAGTCCTTTCGTTTGAACGTAAGATCGCATCCATCGAAACGACACACAAATGGTCGGTCCGTGGAGTGGATGACAGTGTGTCGGATCAAGTGATGCCTATTGCGGGTCTTGTAATCACATAAATGGCACTCAAATACAGAGAGTTTGTGTTTATGAGACAAATGGCTGAGAAGTGTGGCGTTGTGTCCGTGGAGTGGATGACAGTGTGTCGGATCAAGTGATGCCTATTGCGGGTCTTGTAATCACATAAATGGCACTCAAATACAGAGAGTTTGTGTTTATGAGACAAATGGCTGAGAAGTGTGGCGTTGTCTTTGAAGTCTTCGTGGCACTCGTGGCACATGAATTGATTCAAATGCATAATCTTGTGGTTAATTAAGCGGAACTTGCGTTTGAATGACTTCTCGCAGCCATCGAAGGGACACTTAAATGGTTTGTCCATTGAATGCGAGACTTTGTGTTGGATTAAGTGGTGTTTAGTGCGAGTCTTGTAATCACACGAATCGCACTCAAAGGCAGAGATTCTGTGCTTTTGTGACAAATGGTTGAGAAGCGAGAGGTTGGCGAAGAAGCTCTCCTTACAGATGATACACACGAATGGCTTGAGATTCTTGTGGTATTTGTTTGAATGGATTTCTAGCGGGCAGAGGCTACCGTAGGTAAACACCGTAAGTAACGTAAACTTAAATAACTGTTAAAACGGTATTAAACCGTGTAAAACATCGTTTATAAACCGGTTTATTAGCAACGTGGGTAATCACCTGTTTGATCGCGATTGTCTCATTATATCTATCAAATCAACACAAATCTTAAAATATTTGTCTTACGATACCATAAAAATAAAATCAATATTTTTAATTACCAGAGATTTTGAAACTTTTTGCCATTTGTTCCACACTTTTAATACTATTTAAACTAATGTTTTCTGAAATATTAAATGAAAGTCTTAATTACTGTTACCGTATAATCACTTTTATAATCATATCTTATAAGTCAAACCTAAAAACATTTTGTTGTCATCACTGGCGTGCATATCATCCGAATGTCCAGTATTTGTATCACTGAAGCCGTGATTATCTCTCATATGTGTGGCGAACAGATCATCACTAGTGAAGACCTCTCGGCATTCATCGCATGTATACAACTGGAGGTCCTCTTTGTGGACACTATTCATATGGATCTGTAGATCCAGCTCTGAAGCAAACTGTTGTTCACATTCACTACAAGTGTGAGTAACTGACGGATCAGTTGATTCTTGGATCTCAACCTTCGGGTACATTATGTCCACAGATGTATCACCACTTCTATCACCAATTTCTGGATCTATTCAATGAATTTATAGTCAAAACAAATTCAACTACTTTTTCATTCAAACATTAATTACCGGACAATAGGTCACCGTTTTGTTGCCCACTTTGACGGCTCTTAAGACTTGCGTATTGATCACTGAATTGATTCAATTGGTCCACAATCTGGCGGTTTGTCTCGCATTTGCATCGATTGATCAAAACGAGTGAATAGCTCTTAAAAGTGTCCAAAATATGGTTCAATTGTCTCTCAAACGCCAATTCGTCGCAAAGTCTCTTATACTGTGTCTTGAGATCACTGAAGTCGTTGTCATTTGAGTCCATAATGACATCCAATGGGACACTGATTGGTGTGAAAGCCGTGAATGTCTTCAATATAACCGTAAACACAATCCAAACACAAATCAAATAAAGTTTGGGTTTCTATGAAAACAAAGGCAAACAAAGACATTGTGTGGGATTACCATCAATGATGTGCTCATATGCCTAGACTTAGGCCCTAAGTTCGGGTCAATTGGAAAAATGTTGACACAGTTTGGCAACAATTGTGTCCATTTGTTGTGTAATCAACACCGATTATTGCTCACCATGGTCAGTTTGTGCATATCAGTTGTTTTTACAGTCAATGAGTCCAAAAATGTTTATATTTAAGCTCTACTCTATGGACCCGTGAACACGATAGTTGGTCTTGGTAGTTCAGTGATAAATCTATCAATCTGAGTGGCACCTTGGTGAAATCGGGGGTCAATGATATTCAATCATATAAAGTGATCGGATTTTAATTAAGAAAATAAACTGCAAATGTTTTTGTATAAAATAAAAATTTATTTAATAATTCATTTACGGTAATCATTTTTATCAAAAGTCTTAAGCAATTGATATGACTTTAATTTCTCGCCTCTATAGCCAAACCCTCTCTTATCGGTAGGCTGTTGTCCGCAATCGGCAATGGGCTCAGGAATACCAGTGACGGACTCACCCAACC